GCCGATGTACGTAGGCAAACACGAACATGATGGTTGACCGTTTGCATTCTGACAAACCGCGTTTGGTCCGCATGGCGAAGGAATGCATGGATTGCCTTGATCTTTAGGTTCCGGTGGAACTGAAACGTCAATATAACAATTTGTATCTATTCCTTTAATTCGCGCTTTATCAAGAATTATTGCAAGCACTACTCTTGATAATCATTGAAGAAATAAATTCTTATCATTTTTGAAAATCATTAAAATCATATCTTATCGATATTACAAAAGCCATATTTTATGAATATTACATGATTATAATATTATTTTTTGTTTTAGAAAGTTATTGATAGAATAGTTATTGATTTTTCTTACTTGGAATGTCGTAACAACTCTTGAAAGGATCTCCCGTTTGCACGGGTAAACAGCTGCATATTGGTGAGTGGTTGATCACTTCGCATCTCGCGTTCAAACCGCAAGAACCCAGGCACGGGTCTGTGCACTTCTTGTTTACGCAAGCCCGCGTTGGCGGGCATTCAGAACTAACGAGACATTCTGGTCTGCAGGATGGCGGAGAACCGAGGTAGCCCCGGAGACAAGAGCACACAGCGTGATCCTCGATATTACGGCATTGACTGTTCGGTCCACAAGGTGAGGGTGTGCAAGGATCTCGTCGAGATTCCGGCACTGCGATATAAGGTAAAAATTAATTTCGCAAAGCAATTTTAATTTAAATCTCGATAAAGAGAAGTGATACAACAAAATTATAATGACAATACTATTCAAAGCGAGAAAAGAAAAATAACTGCAAAATATTTTTATATACCTGTAGGTTGAACGCGACAGTTGACGAATGGATCACCTACATATCCGGATGGACAGGAGCAGACAGGAATGTGATTCACGACGTCGCATCGCGCATTTTGACCGCATATTCCGGGGCAAGGATCCTTGCATTTATTCTTCAGACAAGTTTTATCGCGAGGACATTCGGAATTGAGAATACATTCGGGACGACAAGCTTCATAAGGATTACCGGTGTATTCGGGCAAGCATTTACATTCACCGTTATCACATACGGCGTTCGAACCACACGGAAATAGAGCGCAAGGATCCGTAGGCGGTGGTTCCGTAACTATAAACAAAAATATTTATTATTAAAAGCAAATTAGTCACTGACGTGTATTTCGTAGTGCAAGATCGAGTAATATTGTTAGCGCCACAATAGAGAGATATTATTCCATTATCGCGACAATTATATTATATAAAATTATATTATATTTTATGATTATATTATAAATATTATGTTAAAATTTATAAATATTTATAAATATTATATTAAAATTGTATTATATTTTATAAT